AGGTTTGAGGCCATCTCTATTAGGTTGGAGGCCATCTCTATTAGGTTGGAGGCCATCTCTATTAGGTTGGAGGCCATCTCTATCAGGTCGGGGGCCATCTCTATCAGGTTGGAGGCCATCTCTGTTAGGTTCGAGGCCATCGCTAGTAGAAACAAAGAAAAAATAAAAGTAGCTTTATTGGTCTTTATTGTTCCTAGTGGTAAGGCCAGGAGCCCCTAGTAGCGTTCTTGCTCCTAGTAGTGATGCCCGGAGCTACTAGTAGAAAAGGACAAAAGGTCTTACGAAGAAAAGAAAGAAAAGTTTTACGAAGAAAAGCAACAAAAAGCGCTCCTCCAAGGCGTAGGGGATCTGGACTAAGGCCTTGGCGGTGGGTTCTCAGTCAAGTTGGTGCCGTTTCTCAAAGCTTTCTTGCTACTAGTAGCGATGGCCTCCACCTACTAGCTTCTAGTTACTAGAAATCTTTCTTGTTACTAGAAGATTCAAAAACCTAAAAAGCTTCTTGTTACTACAGGTGAAACGATTCCCAGTGAAACGATTTGCAAGGTTGGTGTTGCTGGTGTTTCCGGCATGTGATGAGCATCCCACAAGTGTCCTCTTCGTCGGACTTGGATTTTATAGGATGTTCATCTGTGATTCACCCCAAATTCACCTCCATCCATGTCACTTGGGACCTCCAAGACACTTTTCATCATTCGGAATGCCCTTTCTTTTTTCACCGAATCCTTATACAACGATCGCAGGATCAACACATCCCTTTCCATGAGTGGGACCGTGGCCTGCTATGGATTCAACTAGTGCGCCAGCCCACCTTCCAAAATTCTTTCGACAATACATGTTTTACAGGTTCAGTGAGTCTAACGTTTCACGCCTCTTCACGTTTCACGACATGGATCTGACATGCTACCCCAACCTCAACCACGCCAACTTCCGCATTCCACCGCCTCACGAACGACGTGTCTCTGTCCCGAGCCGCGAGGGCGCTGATGGGGATGGCACCCATGGCCTCCACGTCACTCAAGGCATGGTAAGCGCTCACCTGTGATGGTCGTCTCACCGTTCTGCGGCGATTGGTGGTGACCGTGTGTGTTGTTTTCATGCGCGCCTGTCGTTTTTATGGTGAAATGGGGTGGGGGGAGGTGGTGGAGAAGAGATGGGGAGTCTTTGAGAGAGTCTCTCTGCAATTTTGTTGGCATGGTCGAGCTCTGAACCTGGACATCCCATGCCGCTCCACTTTTGCACCGCGACGTTCGCGCGGCGGACCTGCCCCATGAGGTACGGGTCATCGATGAAAGTCCGGAAGAAATCCTCAAATTCTGTGGCTTCCACCCTAGTAGCGTCCTTGCTCCTAGTAGTAAGGGCCTCCACCCTAGTAGCTTCTTGTCACTACGGCCTCCAACCCACTAGCGATGGCATTTGAACCATTTGGTCTGGGACAACGGATTGGCGCTTTTTGGGCGAGGGGGATGGACTGTTGACACTGCCGGTATCTGAACTCACTCACTTCACTTTGGGAAAGAAATTCTGGTCGAAAGTGATCGTCAAATTTCTTGGTTCCACTTGACCATGGCTTGAAACAGGTTGGGAGTGGGTCATGCTGCGATCTTCGCTACATGGGCGCGGCTCAAGAATGCGCGTGTTCATAGGAGTTCCAAACCTTGAATTTCCCAAAAAACAGAGGTAGGTAGATCACCCAACCTGACTGGCTGGGCAAGTTTCAACACAATGTGAATGAACATTGGCTGAGACCAGCTTAACAGCCAGAGTCTTTTTCTTTTGGCCTTCAAGGAAGCCCTAAAACCCAAAACAATGTTGCTTGGACAGTAAATACCTCCCAAAATCTCCATCTATCAATACCATTTGCCATCTCTACCCATCAACCCATAACCCAAACCTCCAGCCGTCCTCCCATTGTTTGACCCCGACCCGGTTGGCCACACCGAGCGTCGATGGTCTGCACCGTGGAGACCACCCGCGACGCCGAGGCCGCGAAGTCCACCACGGCGGCGTCGTCCCCGGCGCCCAAGACCACCTGGGCCTAGAAGCGTTGGACCGAAGTGCGACGCCAAAAGAAGAGGTCCCGGGCCTTAGCTACTAGGAACAAAGGGCATCGTTAGTAGTAACAAGTGCATCGCTAGTAGTAACAAGAAGCTACTAGGGGCTCCTGACCTTACTACTAGGAGCAAGGACGCTACTAGGGGCTCCTGGCATCGCTACTAGGAGCATTCTTACTACTAGTAACAAGAAGTTTTTTTAAGTGGCAGGTGGTGACCTGTTGGAGGTCGTTGCCACAATTTGGTTCGCAGTCTCCCTGAGAGGGTCTAAGTTCTAAATTTTGGAACTGGTGTATGTTCCCCACAACTTTGCGTGGGCTTCTTATCTATTTTTACCGTCTCCGCCTCCGCCTCCTCCTGCTCCCCGCTTGCCCCTCATACCAACTCATCTCACACCAACTTGCACTCATCACTTTCACTCACTCAAGCATTCACTTTCACCAACCTTACGTTTCCTGTGTCTTGCCTTCTGGTTGTCAGCCTGCGGCCCTCTCCACACACCGACTCAACTCACTCACGACAATACAGTGGTTTCAGAGTAGATGGCACAAACCCCAAGATATCTTTTAGACGGGGATCCATAAACCTCCCTTTGGGAACTCCGCATGCCTCTTCCTCTTCCTCCATTCCTCTTCCTTCCGCTTTTGCCTCCACTTGTTACAACACAAAAGCTCCACTTGTGGGGTTGCCCGGTCCTGAAATGCTGAGTTCCAATTTTGTGTTGAGCCTTTCTTTGGGTCCAAATAATCAAAGATGGACAACATGCTTACTTCGAAGGGTATACTTTGTATGTAAGATTTGCAGAATCCCGACACTGAGAGATTTTTCCCAACTGCCCGCATGGCTGTCCAGTCTTCTGACTGGCAGGCTGTCTGGGGATGTACGAGTCCACTCGTCGCATCGCCTCCCCGTGCAAAGCGATGCGGCCAAGGAAATGGTCCATCGCTCTGCATCTTTGCGATTTTTCACCACACACTCCATTTACTAAGTACAAGAAGCTACTAGGAGCTAGGGGCATCGCTAGTAGTAACAAGTGCATCGCTACTAGTAACAAGAAGCTACTAGGAGCTCCTGGCATTGCTACTAGGAACAAGGACGCTACTGGAGGGCCTCGCCGCAGCGACAAAAGAAACGCCAGGGACGCCGTTGGATGATTGGTCCTTGCGCCGCGCTGAAGCGCCTGCGTCAACGTGCTGGCGCCCACCTTGGCCCCGCACCTCGGGAGTTTTTTGACACTTCGAACCAGAAGGACCCTGGCAACTGGACGACCGCACTCCACTTTTGGGGTCAGAAACACATGAACCATCATGGAACCCATCAATAGGCGGAAAGACTCACGGGGTGCACCCTTCCACCAAATGTTGACAAAAAACGTGTTGACTTTGGAGAGGTGCAGCACTTCTCATGGAAAGAATTTCACTTGTACTTGGCAACTGTGAAGAAGCATCGCTGTTGCATTCGGGATCGCAGAATCAATTTCTACAGAATCCAGCTGCCTCCAGGCTAAAGGGAGTGTTTCGCAGAAGCTTGTTGGCACAGGTGGGCGTGATGGGGCTGGGGGTGGGGTCATGCTAACACTTCGTTGCAAGAAATGAAGTAACTTCGTTTGCTTACTATAATCAGCTTTCTCAGGAGGCACCAAGAACATGCTAATTATTGGTACAGATTTCCCTTTGTCTTGCTCCCTCACTTGCCTTTTCCAAAGCCCGGAGGGTTCATTGTTGTAATGGGTCACCTAATAGGTTGCTCGCAACTAGACTAAGGGGTTCTAACAGTGTGAGGGTAAGGCAGGGTTTGGAGGCAGGGCTCGCTTTTCGTTTTGCGACCGTCACCACATGCTGTGCCCCATCGTGGACCTGAAAAAAAACCTTGAACCTACTACAAGATCGTTCAGAAAGTCCACCAAGCGCTGCGCTTCGCGCGAGATCTGCACTTCAAGCTTTGCGCATGGGTAACGAATCTGCATCTTGAGGTTTACAAAGCGCTACGCCTGCCACGAAACCTGCACTTTAAGGTTCACTTTGAGGACTGCAGGTGCCCGGTGTCCTCCATCTAGTGGTGCCCTGATGCAGGACTGTTCCCATCCGTTGAGAATAGAAAAAGGTCATTGGCTGCACCTCGCTGCACCTCTTCCCTGTCATTCACCAAAGACTTCCCAATTTGTGCCCTGTGTGGGTGGTGTTTTGATGTGATGTCCCTATGCCCTCATCGACTGCAGCCCCAAGCACCCACCACAGCGCATGGTGGCCTTTCGCAGCAGCACCTCGGCCTGGTCGCCCAGCGCTTTGGCAGCGCGCACGTCCACGCGGGCGGAAGGCATCTCGGGAAGGCCTGGCCGCGCGTCCACGGGGGAGACGGGGAGACCAGGGGCGATGTCGAAAGTGGAGGACATTGATGATCTGATCAAAGACTCCCTCAAGAGTGAGCTTGCACTACTCACATTTTCGACGAAAAGGGTCCCGTGGCCTTCGAAGTAGTTCCACATCCACCGGCGATCGATCCAATCCTCAGGTGGAGCTTCAGATTGGCCCCTTATCATTTAATCATTGACTACTTTGGTTGGAGGCCATCGCTGTTAGGTTCCCTTATCATTTATCATTGACTGTGGTTTCAGAGGTTCGATGGCACCTTTGCCCCAAGATGTCTTAGACAAATGGAGGTCCATATAAACCACCGCGGGGGCCTTTGTGCCATCTACTCTCAACCCACAAAAATGTTTGCATATATTAAACAGTGCCGACCATTAGGAACACGAATGTACTAGGTGGAGGCCATCGCTAGTAGGTTGCAGGCCATTACTACTAGTAGCAAGGACGCAATTAGTAGCTAAGGGCATTACTATTGGTAAGAAGAAGCTACTAGTAACAAAGGCCCAGAAAGGACCAAAACATTGAACCGCAACCAATACTGAATGCCACGATTTGTCCCAAATTCTGCACCTTGGAAGTATCTCTTCCATCTACTTGAGGGCTCATTCTGAGCCAAACGAGGAACATTTATGTGGCATCCCCTTTCGGGTGTGACCTGGACCCCTTCGCCGCTCTCCGTCGTTCCACGACGTGCACCAGGACTCCTTCAAGTGCCACAGCCAAGCGCCCTTGGCCGCCAAGACCCCACGAGAGGCGATACCTCGGATCTGCGCGTTTCGCGCGTTCGGGAGCTCCCTTTCGGGGTGAAGAACAGGCGTTCGTAGCTTTTTTCGAAACGCTGGCGGGGCTGAGCTTGTGACCTTTGCGTCTCTTGTGATTTTGTGTGTTGAACATGACGGAGGAACTATTGGGATCGTATCAGCGAGACCGGACACAGAAAGCCTACTGAAACGAGAATCTTACTTGACTCATACGACATCCACTTCAATGCCTCTTGGCAAGTTGGTGATGGTCACCGTGGAACGCTGAGGATTGAATCCTGAAGCATTATCTGACTAGGCTGCCATAAGTAGCTATTGGAAGCTACTGGTACTAGCCTTGATTAAACAAGTTCCAAACTCCAATCACATGTCATAATATCTATTAACCATTGTAGAGGCAATTGAACTGTTTGATGAAGTCCCACATTAAAAGAACAGTAAAGATCCCTGGCATGTTTCGGGTTCAAACTTTCCAAGGTTCTTCCTCTTACACGTGACACCTAACCAACTTCGTTGCTAGGAAGATGGCAGCCATGAAGCACAAAGACATGCGAACTGACCCCAACCACAAAGAGTTTCCTTTACTTTCTTCTAAAAAAAGCTATTAGAAACAAGTGCATCGCTAGTAGTAACAAGTGCCTTACTAGACGTAACAAGGACGCTACTAAAAACAAGTGCGTCGCTACGAACGGAGCAAGTGCGGATGCCATCGTAGCAAGCAGTTCCGCGACTCCGCTGTTCCGTGCGGTCGGCCGGGGCCCAGGTGCAGGTGCCATCCCCGAGGTTCAAGAGGCCCAAGAAGGAGCTTTGAGGCCAATACCTCGCGAGAGGGAAAGCGAAGCAAACTGAGCTGAGAAGAAGCTGGTAGTTGGTATAGCTGAATATCGCTCTAAATTGTACAATGGCTTGGATTAGATGGAATTCCATCCAACTTCGAATGACGTGTGGAAAAGAAAGCGGCTCATCTACACAGTCTTTGCTGGTCTTTGGATCAAAGCACTTGCACTCGGCTGATTCTGAACCAAAAACAGATCGGAATCAAACATGCCAAAGAAGAAAACATGCTCAGTGCCAACCTCTTTGCTCAGTGCCAACCGTGTGGCGTGACCAGCTTTTCTCCACGGAGAGTGGCACGGAGATTGATCCAAAGCACCAGCCCGGCCATCACCGCGAAGACGCCCGCCTTGGGCCTTGGATGCCCGTCGACCTAAGGCGGACGGAGATGGGCCGTTTCTTCGTCAATGGGGTTTAGCACGAACATCAAATGAAATATTTGGAGGTGTACAACACTTTCTTGACAGAATTATTCTTATGAGAGCAAAAGAGTTAGTTTGTCAAAGGCATTTCAATTCCAAGAGTCTTACATAAAAATAACGAAATACAGAAACAAACCTCTAGTGTTCCAGTGCCGGATCCAGCAGAGACCACTGGTAAATTGATTTGGAACATAATGCACATTTACAGTCACCAAAACCCAACACAGCCCCCCCCACAATGCAAGACCCAAAATACATGATCTGATCATTTGGTTTCAGTGTCAGGGTTGAACACAATTGCAAACATCAATTCCATACTCGAGACTACAAAGCGACCACGGGCGTGGCCATCGCTCTTAGTGTGGAGGCCATCGCTCTTAGGGTGGAGGCCATCGCTTTTAGATTGAAGATTGTATATATTCCTCTATCATTCCTATTTCGAGACTACAAGCGACCACGGGCGTGGCCACCAGAACGCCCCAAAACGCCCCACGGCCACCGGAGCACGCTGGCAATGTCGCCGCCGGCGAAGATGTCACCACACAAGGGTTGCCCATCAGTGCGGTGGCAGCGCATTTGTTGGTCCACAAGAAGGAAACCATCCTGGAAGGTTGCGCCCGTGCTTCATTCGGGATCCCAGTGAATGATGGTGGTGGTGGTGGTGGTGGCAGCTTCTGTTCAATTCATCACGGCAACGTTGCTTCAAGGCACCGAGACAGTCCACCAGCCAAGAAGGATGCCAGTTTGGAGCGTCCTTGTCCAAACACAAAGCAACTAGGTTGGAGGCCATCGCTCTTAGGTCGGAAGCCACTACTATTAGGTTCCTTTTGCTATTAGGTTGGAGGCCCCACCAACCTACTAGCGATGGCCTCCCAACAAGGATCGCCCCTTGTAGCTGAAACCCGAAGCTCTCGTTTGGTCCATCCTTTCGGGAGAGGAATGGTACCCAAGCCACCACAAGGGCCATCAAATATCTCACCATAACCCGCGGACACTTGTGTTGTAATCAAGACACGATCAAGCAGTTTCTTATACACAAAAAACTCAAACATTGTGTTCATCTTCGGTGGGCGCTTCTTAGGTGCCCTTCGCTATGTCGCTGTCAACGCTCCGTTCATTCGGCCTGGTCGGTGCGCAAGCCGCAGGACTTGACCCAGCTCTGTGGCGAGCCCTGGGTGCACCTCGAGCAACGCGATGCGCGTCTCGGTCGGGCCGTCCCCCCGGACCCAGCATTAGCGCGGTCACGCGCGCAGGCCGGGAGTGGAGCGTAGTGGCCGAGAAGCCGTGAATTGGTGGTTCTGCGGGTATGTACAGTCTACAGGTTTGGAGAGATGTCTAAGAGATCTGAGTTTGGAGAGCGCACACATGAGAGCGCATGAATAAAACACACATGTGCGCCCGCTCTTCGACTTTCACAAAGGCAACAACTGCGATCACGAGTCTCAGACTCATGGCTCTGACAGAGAAGACCGGCAGGGAGACAAAAGCCGAACTCTCGTCTACTGCGACC